AAATAATAAATTAAATACTCGCATACGACGTTTCGATTGCAATACAAGCAATCATCATCAGGTATAAATGAAATAGAAACACAAATCTAGTATACTTAGAAATGTAATGTGATACAACAGAGAGTTGGATAACATAACAGTCAACACCCTACCTGGTTGATTACGTTCTTCCTGAGAATGCTAAATTTGAGAGAGAGATAAAACACAGAACAAGAGACATATAGACAGACATATAAGCAGAGACAGATATCACAGAGACACATAGAGAGAGAGACGTACATAGGCACACAACTCGCTCATTTAAATTTCGATTTAAAGCTTTCGTGACTGCAGGGATTCATCTTCTTGGTTCTTGCGGTAAAATCACGTAGAAGGGAAATAATAAAATAATAAAAATAAAACATAATAAAATAATTCTCACGACGTTTCGGCCACAACGCAAGCAGCCGTCCTCAGGTGAAGACCAGGTCTGTCGGGGAGACGGCTGCTTGCGTTGTGGCCGAAACGTCGTGATGATTATTTTATTATGTTTCATTTTTATTATTGTATTATAACTCGCACATTGTAATGACGAGATGGAAACAGCCGTCGCGTTCATCATTCCAGCAACGAAATAACGGAATGTCATTGCATGACGACGCCCAATCTGTAAGCCGGGGGACTCATTGAGAGGCACTTTTATGAATCCCCATGAACGGAATTCGTAATTCCCTTTTCACCGAAGTAATTGCCTTTGCCTGAGCATGCCGCAAAAGTGTTTGTGAGTCTACGAGCGCGGGTGCTTGTAATAAGCAGCGGATTATGAATTCGTCTTGGAATTGGCTTCTTTTTATGAGAGCCACGCATGAAATCAATTAATCCATGGCTTGTTCTTCCATGCTGTCTGCTGCTCTGTCATGCTGAATGCATCACGTGTTCCTTGTTGGTGACTCGATGTTTTGAGAAAGAGAGACATATTTGGGGCGGTGACCGGGCCCAGCGGTGGTGCCCGGAGAAAAACACCACGCGACCACGGGAGAGACACGCAAACTCCAAATACACAGCAGCAGGCATCGTCAGGGTGGGGATCGAACCCACGATCTCCTGTACACCAGGCGAGTGAGTTAACATCTCCCAGCCACCGTGATGATGACGAGAGAGAGAGAGACACGAAAACTCCCAAATATACAGCAGGCATTGTCAGGGTGGGGATTGAACCCACGACCTCCTGTATATCAGGCGAGGGAGTTAACATCTCCAAGCCACCGTGATGATAACGAGAGAGAGACACGAAAACTCCCAAATATACAGCAGGCATCGTCAGGCTCGGGATCGAACCCACGACCTCCTGCACACCAGGCGAGGGAGTTAACATCTCATCGCCACCTTGATGATGATGAGAGAGAGAGAGAGACACGCAAACTCCCAAATATACAGCAGCAGGCGTCAGGTTCGGGATCGAACCCACGACCTCCTGCACACCAGGCGAGGGAGTTAACATCTCCCAGCCACCGTGATGATGACGAGAGAGAGAGAGACACGAAAACTCCCAAATATACAGCAGGCATTGTCAGGCTCGGGATCGAACCCACGACCTCCTGTACACCAGGCGAGGGAGTTAACATCTCCCAGCCACCGTGATGATGACGAGAGAGAGAGAGAGAGACACGAAAACTCCCAAATATACAGCAGGCATTGTCAGGCTCGGGATCGAACCCACGACCTCCTGCACACCAGGCGAGGGAGTTAACATCTCCCGTCACCGATTGCGACGAGGATAGCGGCTAAATGCGTGCGCAGTTTGATGAGCACACGCGGTGGCGTTCAAGCAAATGCGTGGACATGAGTCGAGTATACGAACAGGAGAGGAGAGGAGGGGTGGGGGCACGGAATAAATAAATAAATACAAACACATGCATGGGCGCACCGTTAGAAACAAATGACCGGAGAGACTAAGCAAGTGATTGCAAATCATCTCTTAATGACCGCGCCGAAGGATATGAAAGCAACTTCCTTCACACGCCCCCCCCCACTCCACTCTCTGATTGAGTGACGACTGCTGTGTGGTCATCTCGGCGTGGTCTGGGACTCGTTTTGTCGTCGCTTTTGCCGCCTTGCCCAATCTTGATCAGATGGAACATATGTATATAATGAATGTACTTATCATTTATTCATATTCAGTGACTTAGCTTTCCCTGTATTTTGCACACTGATCGTGTTTGTTTTTTAATTGTTTGGCTGCTGCAACTCGCTGACCCGCCCCTACTGGACATGTGCGATTAAAGAGCTTCACTGCTCATCGGATTCCTCCTGAAGTCTAAAATTAACGATTCTGATTCCGACTCTCTCCCAACACACCTCCCCCTCTCTCCCTCTCACCACCCTCGCCCAAGCCCCACCACGTAACAAACCTTCCCCGCCAACGTCGCTTGGTCGGTAGCTCACCGTGGTCACGACCACTGCTGCCAAGCCCCACGACCTCGTTGTTGTTCGGTCGCGAAGCGTCGCCACGAAGATGAAGAAAACTAGATGTGAAGCTTTCGTGACTGCAAGGATTCATATTCTTAGGTTTTTTCGGTAAAGTCACGTAGGTAAACAATTTAAAATTAATACAAGTAAAATAAAATAAAAATCACGACGTTTCGGAGGCAACACAAGCTTCCATCTTCAGGTGGAACCGTCACAGCACGATAGCTGTATCAAGTAATTTTAATTTTTTACCTACGTGACTTTACCGAAAAAACCTGAGAATATGAATACAACTATAGTAATAGGTTTTTACCCTTTTATCTGGCACCAAAACTGGCACCTTTATACAAGGGATCATGTTTGCAATAACCACAACACAAGCAGTCAAAATTAGACAACTCTGATAATGATATGCACTGTCCTTGAAATTGATTGGTCCACACCCGAGACGGCTTTTCTTAGAGCCTAGTCTCCACTGGTGTTGGACCAGATGACGCCAAAAGGCGTACAACTCAAAAACAGCGAACTATCAAAGTATTGAGAGCACGGGGTAAGCATTTACATTACGAGACCTCCTTTGCATTTTGACTGCTTGTGTTGTGGTTATTGCAAACATGATCCCTTGTATAAAGGTGTCAGTTTTTGTGCCAGATAAAAGGGTAAAAACCTATGACTATATCTTGCTACTGGCAAAGGAGGTCTCAGAATGTAAAGGAAGAAAACCACCCGGCCAACGCGAGGAACCTTTTTACAATCGCGTCGCCACCGTTGTGGCTTCGTGCGTCTATCCGCCTCGGTCGCAGGCCTCTTGAGAGGGGAGCCACCTACGAATTCCCTCCACACCGCTGCACGCTGCTTCCCCGCGCGTGCCCATCACAACCTCCTGGCTCCGGTCTCCAAATTGGGGCGCCGTTCTGTGCGGAGTTTCTGAGTTCTCCCCCCCCCCCCCCCTGGTCCGCATGGGCATCGGCGGTCGGCAAACCGACATGGCAAGAGGAGTCGTTAATTTTGCGGTGGGGTGGCGTGGAATTCGGTCAAAACTAAAAGAAAAACTCAATAAATTTCGATTTAAAGCTTTCGTGACTGCAGGGATTCATCTTGTTGGTTCTTTCGGTAAAGTCACGTAGAAGGGAAGTAATAAAATAATAAAAATAAAACATAATAAAATACAATTCTCACGACGTTTCGGCCACAACGCAAGCAGCCGTCCTCAGGTGAAGAACAGGTCTCTCATCATTCAGACGCTGTCTTTCCGACAGACCTGTTCTTCACCTGAGGACGGCTGCTTGCGTTGTGGCCGAAACGTCGTGAGAATTATTTTATTATGTTTTATTTTTATTATTTTATTATTTCCCTTCTACGTGACTTTACCGAAAGAACCAAGAAGAAACAAACTCAATATTTTAAGAGCCGCAACGCGCTGTGGTGAATACGAGAGGTGCGGCTTTGACGATCCTGAATAAATAACAGCGCGGAGAGGCTCCTTGCAGAGCCACGTGCAGCTGTGGAGCCACGGGTTGCCCACCCCTGTGCATGGGTGTCGTGTGAGTTCTGCGCTTTCCTCCCATCGCCGAGACAAACGCGCACACACACAGTACAGGGACGTGCGGTCAGGGGACGTAGGTATAGGCACAGCCTCACCTGTCATACTCCAGCGAAAATAGCTGTTGCGAAAAGTCAAAAATAATAAAATAAAAATTACGATACTCTAAGATTTTTTTGGTAAAGTCACGTAGGTAAAAAAACTGAAAGAAATTAAATCACGACGTTTCGGGCGCAACACAAGCGTCCTTCTTCAGGTGGGGACAACTTAGCGAAAGCACAACCGTTTAAGTAAAAAAAATATACGATGTTTTTTTCTCCACTGATCTGTGTTATGTCATTTCTGCAGAGCTCCGCTGTGAGGCAGCGACGAGCTCAGCCTCCCCTCTGATTGCGCAACCCCTCGGAAACTGGATGTAGCGCGGGCAATAAGCGGGTGCCCGTTACTATCTCTCTGTAATGATCAGAATCATACAGAAGTGACATTTATAACGCAGATCAGTGGGAGAAAAATTAAAAAAAATCTAAATTTGTATTTTATTATTTTTTTACTTTTCGTAACAGCTATTTTCATAGGAGTATGACAGAGGAGGCTGTGCCTCCCCTGCCTCCCCTGACCGCACGTCCCTGTCACACCGTGCAACTGCTATTGGCCAAACATTAACAACGCTCAAAAAAATCTACTCAATTGGGAAAACTTTTGGCAGGGCCCTCCTGACGCTCACTCACACGGAGACTCGGTGCGGCGTTCCTGGATAAAGCACGCGGGGAAAATGCCCCTACGTGACCGAATGTCGGTTACTCCGCTCACCGCAAGAGTTGTTAGCAAGTGCCTCTCCCTCGTGCCTTGGCGTGCCCTCTGCTCCTTGTGACCTCGCGCAAACTGCACAGGTGATAGATGGAACGCGCGCTTTCTCTACGCGTGCGACGCTCCTGGGTTGGCGAGCGCGTCACGATTAAATTAACACAAATTTTTTTTTTATCTCAGAGAGAGAGAGACAGAGACTCACGATTTGATGAGCTGGCCAATCTCGTACTTGAGGGTGACATCGCTCAGTTTGCTGTAGACCTTCTGGCTGGAAAAGACGCAGCTGAACGGCATCTTGCGGCTTCTCCTCCGCCTCCTCCTCCTGCCGCCTCAGCACAATGGATCTGGAACCGGCAAGAGAAGACCACCCCATGTGACAGCGGCTCTCCACGTCAGCGGGGAGCAGTGCCGCCACCCTGCAGCTCCTGCAGAGCATGTCATGTCACTGCGACTTGAGCCACTCCGACTTGACCCGCGCACTCCCATTTCGAAAACATGTTCACGCTGCTATTAAACAAAACAAAAAAAACTTGACGCAAATGAAAAATAAAGCGGCCCGTTTTCCCGTCGCCTACGGCATCGAAGCCTCCCCCCCCATCCCCCCCCCCCCCCCCCCACTTGTATTGGCCGCGGCGAAGGCGCAGCCCCTGCAATTTCTTCGCTGCTAGTGGGAGGGCCTCCGCTCGAGGGAGCTCCGGAGAGCACCCTCGAGACTGCACGTTGACGTCTTGGAAGAGGCGCTCGAGGGTACGCACACTTGACCCCACTTGACCCCAGCGTACGCGACCTGCCAATGTCATGAGCCGCCCGGTGGCCAGGAGCACCGTAGAGTCAAATGCCTTGCCGGGAGATCGAACTGCCGACGTCTGGATCACAAGTCCATTGCGATATAACCATAACAGCACGGCAAGCTCCCCACGACCACTGTGATGATTAATCAGGCACCTGGCAGGCGATCGATTGCCATGAGCGACTTGTCTGAACTCAACTATAAACTAAACTATTTTTATATTACCAAGTAAGGACCACTGAACTATGTAGCTCTTTTACAGATGCGATCTGGCCACAAATGAGAGCTCAATGAAGTGGGTTATCATCGTGTGGAAATTTAAAGCGGCCAAATACTCTAAATGCACGTTTATTCTAAATGTGGAGGGGAAACCGGAATACACGGAGACAAATCCACGCGACCACGGGGAGAGAGACACGCAAACTCCAAATATGCAGGCGTCGGGATCGGACCCACGACTTCCTGCATACCAGGCGAGGTAGCTAACATCTCACCTGTCAACGATTCGATTCTTAGCGTTGATCGTTCTCTGAACGTTGGGGCGAATGTAAGCGGCCACCAATGGCCACACGTGAACCCATCCGTCACAACGTGTAGAGAAACACGAGCAAATGCACGCACACCACACGTGGCCAGCGCCTCCAGTTTAACAGGCGAGTCGAATCGGTGCGTGGCTGTTGGGTGGACGGGTAGGATCTGTTGCAAGATAGTAAGAATTCACCGCCCCCACCCCCACGCGACTCCGGCGATGGACTCGGGGGGTGAGGGCAGCAGATTCAAATCGCGAGTCGTTTAATCCCAGTGGCCACCGCTCCATGTGTAAGAAGTCCCGCCGAGTCATTTGCAGGCGATTTTCAAATTTTGGAGAGAAAAAAAAGATTGGAGCCATGACGCCTACAACACGATGGCCTCACTGGAATCTGTGACGTCCTACTTGTGAAGCAGACAGTGCCAATACACCGGCAGTATTAACTGGGGCGGCCCGTCGAATTCGCACCACGAACCTCGGCAACAAACGGCGAACGCTGCGCCGCTGGGTAACGTCAGGACTGACGGTGCATCGATTCATCGATTGAAATCGATTCTTAATCTCGCGATACGTACGTACATACATACATGCGTAAGAATCAATGATTTTGGTTTCAAAACCTGTTGCATGTCATTGGTTCACGTAATGCTGGCAGCCACTCGTGGCTGGTACATTCACGACAACGTTAAACAATTCACAAGGTCACGAGGGATAGGAGGTAGGTGGAAGGTTTAATTGCCACCCCTCTACTGAGTTTGTGCACTGGCAGGTAAACATACAGGTGAGTGAGCATTGGATTTAATTTCGTTGAATATTGGACGCTTTGATTTGTTGGTCCAATTACATGAACGAAAGATTTCGGATTTAAATTCATAACCATTAAGAAACTTACACTGTTTATGCAATACATTTAAATGCTATTTATCATAAACCTAAGTGAGTGACGCAATCATTTTAATACTAATCTCTTTTTCATGTAACAAAAATGTAACAAAAAGCTACACCCTGCATCAGCGATAAAGTCACGTGGCGGTGAGGTTACGGTGAGGTCACAGTGAGGTCATGTGGCTGTGAGGTCACGGTGTCGTCCCGGTGAGGTCACAGTAAGGCCACGGTGAGGTCACAGTGAGGTCACGGTGAGGCCATGTGGCGGTGAGGTCACGGTGAGGTCATGTGGCGGTGAGGTCACGTGGTGGTGAGGTCACGTAGCGGATACTTTCGTCAGGAAAGGCACAGATGGCCACACCGCGGTGTGATGTCAATTTAAAGCTTTCGTGACTGCAGGGATTCATCTTCTTGGTTCTTTCGGTAAAGTCACGTAGAAGGGAAGTAATCAAATAATAAAAATAAAACATAATAAAACAATTCTCACGACGTTTCGGCCACAACGTTGGCTGCTTGCGTTGTGGCCGAAACGTCGTGAGAATTGTTTTATTATGTTTTATTTTTATTATTTTATTACTTCCCTTCTACGTGACTTTACCGAAAGAACCAAGAAAGTGTGATGTCACTTGCTGTGATGTCACGTGACAACACATTTCTCAGATAAAATCCGACAAAGAAAAAAAATCGGACCCTTATTTTTATATCCAGTCCAAATTGTCTGATTTGCTTTTCCCAAATCAATCCGTCGGTCGACAACACATGAACACTAATCCTCGCGGGATGCATGGATAGATTTCCGATAAACCACGAGGAGATGAGCCCAATTAGACACAATTCCGCTGCCAGGCTGCGTACACAAGCCACACGTGCGTCGTTTGTTCGCACTCACAACTCCGCTCTGGGAAACTTAAAAAACCAAAGTGCGCAACAACGACACAGGCTGGCAGGCATCAACGGCGTACAACACAAACGCACGCAAAAAAATATACATACCTAGTTCGCGAGAGGATGGCAAGATGTAATCATCCATTACGCTGCACCGAGCATCAAGCGGCGTGTTTTGATAGTTGATGGTGAAGCCAATTAGCCATAATTACATTCAATAATTCAATTTCTTAATATTCGCCTTTGTAATACAACTCCCGAAGCACAGTGTGTAAGCGAGGCGGTCCCCGCGGGGAGCCGGGCCGACGGGGTGATGGGGGGGAAGACACGGGGATAATGTCGGGGGGGTGGGGGGGGTCGCATCCTCGATATGCAAATTGTCTCCGCTGAACGCGCAGGAGATCTGCGTGTCGGCATTGACCGCGGTCGATCCACTGCTGGATGAAGGCCTCCCCCAATCCGCCACCGTCTCCCGCTTTCTAACAACGCGCCCGGCAAACCCCCACGCCAGCTGATGAAGCTGTCTTTCATAAATCTCTTTTCAGCATCTTTTAACACATTTTTAACGGCTCATGCCATTTATCGTTTCGTGCGTCTCAAATGTCATCGCCGCACTGTGCACGCGTGCGGAGGCTCAGCGACGATGCCGTCGTTAAGCGCGCCTCGTTCAATTAATGTCCGTTGCTTTCATCGCTCCATCACGTCGGATGGACGCAACCCTCGGGCCAATTACATTTGCAGTGGTAATGATGGAGACGCAGTCTTCTGCTGGAGGCAACGCGTTTATTTAACAGTAACGACTATAACGCGAGGTCGCTAGCACGAAGGGGTATCGGCCCCTCCACCCGATACCCTGGGGAGGTATAGCCTCCGAGCTAGTGTATCCTACTCACTGGGACCACTTCCTCTATATATCTGTAGTGTTGTAAAGGACGGACTTCTAAACTTCTTTATGGCACACACTGTTGATTATCTTAATACACAGCCCCTATCACACTAAGGGGGTATATGGTCCCCTCACCCGTTACCCTGAGGAGGATCAGCCTCCGGACCTTGCAGGCTATCTAATCTCCCTGCTCTCCCAGCGTCCTCTGGCTGGACCTAGGGGATCTCTCCCCGACCACTGGTTACTCTGAGCCCTAGCCCTGACGAGGGCTGGAGGGCTTGGTCCAGGGTCCTAGATGTCTTCGGCCGACTTGGGTCTTCGTGTAGCAGAACTGGCCAAGAGCTCTCAGCGCTCCGGCTTTTATACCTGTTCGTGGCCGGGTTGTCCAATCCCCGGCCACCTCGTGGACCCCTCCGATTGGTCCTTCCCAATCTGGCGTTTGGATCCTACCTCACCCCATTTGACCCTAACCGTTTGATTGAGCGGGAAAACCTTGTTTACTAACTGCTCTCTCACAGCTTGCGAACAGCGAGTAGTTATCACCACTACATATATATCAGCCCTCGGGCTAGCGGGACCTAGGGGAGGCTAGCTGACCCGACCCAGCCAAAGGTCATCGGGTCCAGGCCACTGCCCCGCTCGGTCCCGGCCCTGAGAAGGCCGTCAAGTCCGGGGGTTCCCAGGGTCCAATTCTAGACTGGCTCTTCGGGTCTTCAGCCTGACGACGACTGGCAAACCCGCCGCCACACTCCGCTTGGCAATCGACCGTCGTCCCTTGCTGCCCAAGCCCCCACGTGATGTTCGTCACAGGTGAGATGACGTCACTAGACATGCGCGTATTCTCGACGACTCCGTTGTGTTTCCCCTTTTCTCTTGGGGCGCCACGGTGGCTAGGAGATGTTTACTACCTCGCCTGATGTGCAGGAAGTCGTGGGTTCGATCCAGACCCTGACGCCTGCTGCTGTGTATTTGGAGTTTGCGTGTCTCTCTCTCTCTCATCATTATTACGGTGGCTAGGAGATGTTAACTACCTCGCCTGATGTGCAGGAATTCGTGAGTTCGATCCCGACCCTGACGCCTGCTGTATATTTGGAGTTTGCGTGTCTCTCTCTCTCTCTCATCATCATCATCACGGTGGCTAGGAGATGTTAACTACCTCGCCTGATGTGCAGGAAGTCGTTGGTTCGATCCCGACCCTGACGCCTGCTGTGTATTTGGAGTTTGCGTGTCTCTCTCTCTCATCATCATCATCATCACGGTGGCTAGGAGATGTTAACTACCTCGCCTGATGTGCAGGAAGCCGTGGGTTCGATCCCGACCCTGACGCCTGCTGTATATTTGGAGTTTGCGTGTCTCTCTCATCATCA